CAGTGAGTACTGACACAGTGAGAGTGCTGACATACAGTGAGAGTACTGAAACACAGTGAGGGTACTGACACATGAGAGTACTGACACATAAAAGTGCTGACACAGTGCGAGTACTGACACAGTGTGAGTGCTACACGCAGTGAGAGTGCTGACACGCAGTGAAAGTACTGACACCGAGTGAAAGTACTGACACCGAGTGAAAGTACTGACACCGAGTGAAAGTACTGACACCGAGTGAGAGTACTGACGCATATGAGAATACTGACACATGAGGGTGCTGACACAGAGTGCTGACACAGTGAGAGTACTGAAACACAGTGCGGGTGCTGACACAGTGAGGGTGCTGACACAGTGAGAGTACTGACACAGTGAGAGTACTGACACAGTGTGGTTGCTGACAGTACTGACCCACAGTGAGAGTACTGACACACTGAGAGTACTAACAAAAAGTGAGGGTGCTGATACACCGTGAGGGTGCTGACACAATGAGAGTATTGAAATACAGTGAGGGTGCTGACACACAGTGAGAGTACTGACACGCAAAAAAGACAAACACAAAGATTCCCCGTAAAGCTTTAACAGACTGTTGGAGCAAGTGTTGTTAGCGAGCACCTATGAAGGCCAGCACGACACACGAGGGGGTGGGTGGCCAACACCACGCCCGGCCGCCTTTGTATCCCTAGTGGGGATGTGTACGCACCGCACCAGGTACTCATTTGAAGTTGAGTCGACCTAGGGGAGGCCCAGGATCGGTTCAGATAATCGTCACTGTTGTTGGCCATGAGTGGGAATCGAACTCTGGCCGCCGGGTTCATAGCGCAGCATGCTAACCGCGACACTACCGCTCCCCACACACACTGAGAGTACTGACACAAAAACCACCATTCGCCACTAAGTGGCGGTGACGTCACCACGACGCTTGTGCCAGGCCACAGTGAAGGTGCTGACACCCAGTGAGAGTACTGACACACAGTGAGAGTACTGACACAGAAAGGGTGCTGACACAGTGAGAAGTGACATACAGTGACAGTACTGACACACAACAACAACCGCCATTCACCACTAAGTGGTGGTGACGTCACCACGACGCTTGTGCCAGGCAATGTGCACCTTGAGGCCACGTGCAGTGTCGAACGTCCGCTGGCAGGAGGTCACGGGGCAGACCCAGGTGCCACGGGTCGACTGAGATGACCGAGACGACTGGCTGATGCACCACCTGTGCCCCCTACTGTGCCAACTTGCTGTGCTTTAGCCACCCGTCGCTCCGCTCGTTGTTGTGAGCGTCGCTACTCCGCCCTTCGTTGTTGTTGGAGGGCGACTGCCTCCAACTGCCCAGTAGTGTCCTTCACGAGCCTCCTCCATAGAGGCCGATCTTGACACCGCTGGTACCAGTCATCGGCAAGTCCACTCAGCTCCACATCCTCCTGTACCACGTCACTCCATCTCTTCTCTAGCCCGTGCCACGCCCGTTTAGCCCCCTCGATCCGGCCGAACAAAAGCTGTTTGGGCATGCGGTGATTGGGTATGCGGGCTACATGGCCCAGCCAACGCAGCCTTGCCTGCCAGAGGTGCTCACTGATGGGACTTTGTCCAGATCTTTCGAGGATTTGTGAGCTCCTCACACAATCCAGCCTGGTTAAGACCAGGATTGATCATAGGCAGGCCCGACTAAATGTTTCTAACCGGCGAAAATGTTCCATTAGGGGGGTCCATGTTTCGCAAGCGTAGAGAAGGGAGGGAATGACTGTGGCCGAGAAGACCCGAAGCTTCGTGCGGAGCGACAGACCTGGTAGCTTCCACACAGCGTTACGCAACCAATGAAAAGATAATGCCGCTCGACTGATTTGGAGTGAGACCTCTGCTGTTAAACTGGAGTCGGTCATGAGCACACTGCCCAGATATGGGAAACTCTCCACTCTGTCCTCAACTGCCCCATCGCCGATTGCGAGTTGTGGTGGTGAAGTGCCCAATGGTACAAAATACCCAGGCAGGTGCTTCGTTTTGGCGGGGCTGATGGTAAGGCCCCACCTCTTAGTGGCACACTCCAGGTTCAGCAGCAGCGCCTCCAACTCCTCCTCTGAGTGAGCTGCAATTACCAGGTCGTCAGCATACATAACGTGGCTGACCAATAGGGAGCCATCCCTTGACCGCACCCGGGCATCGATCAGCCTCCTATTGTATCTGTACCAGTAATCTCTTCATTGTTCAGCCAGCATTGGTATAAACATACGCATTTTCTTTTCTTTTCTATCATGTGTATCAGACCTCCCCCCTCCCCCCTTTCTGTCCAATGCGTTGGCGTGGGCAGCAGTGTGTCGCTTGCGCACAATAGCTTCCACGCCGTCCCCCACCCTTTTTTTGGCCCCTCTCTCCCGATACTTTCCATTCATTGGCTACCACATTCTGATGAGCCCCCCCCCTCTCAACTCGCTTTTAAGGGATTACATCTTGAATCATTGCCTCACTTGATGCAGCTGATCTGGCTGTGACTGTCCCACCTGATGACGGAGACTTGTGTTGCCTCCGAAACGTCGTGATCTTTATTTTATTTTATTATTTTTATTAATTTTGATGTTTTACCTACGTGACTTTACCGAAAACACCTGGGAGTGAGATGGAAATTTCTCAGGCACAGCTACTGAAAGCTTCACGAACTACGTGGTCGAAATAGATGTTAAATAATGTTGGAGCCAGAGGACATTCCTGTCGCACCCCAAGGTGTACAGGGAATGGCTCTGACTCCTGGCCACGTAGTTTTACCCGGGCCTCTTCACCATCATGAAGGTCCTTAATGAGCGTGAGCAGAGGGTCAGGGACTCCGAAAGCACGAAGAACAACCCAGAGCCCAGGCCTACTGATGGTATCATAGGCCTTGACGAGGTCAATGAAGCAGAGATGTAGGTTTTGTTGGAATTCCCTACACCTCTGCTGTAGCAGACGGACAGAAAAAATGGCATCTGTGCAGGACCGCCCTTTCCTGAAACCGCATTGGGGCTCCGCAAGCCTCTCCTCAGCGTGCCTAGCAAGGCGATGTTGAATAATCCTTGCCAGGACCTTTCCCGGCACACTGAGGAGTAAGATGCCCCTGTAGTTGTTACTGTCTGTGCGTGCGGTCCCCCTTCTTAAAGAGGGGGACCACCAGGGCATCCTTCCAATCCTGCGGAACCCATCCAGTGGCCCAGACTGTTGTTATAATGTCATGTAGGGCAGTCTGCGCACAAATGCCACCCTCCCTCAGCATTTCGCTTGGGAGATCATCTCTGCCCGGTGCCTTTCCTGGTCTCAGACTCTGGATCGCCTTCAGTACTTCCTCAACGGATGGCACCTCAGCCAGCCACTCACAGGGGGTGACTTCCTCCTCCAATATTTGAGGCACCGCAGCCTCAGCAGGGTCATCCCCACTTTGTCCCATGATGCTTTCCAGGCTCAGCGATTCCCCTCCCCCAGGACCTCACAGAAATGTTCAGCAAATCTGCATACATGTTCCTGGGGGTCGGAGATTGGATCACCGTTCTTTCCCCTGATAGTAATAGGTGTGGCACTGCAAGTTACTATTTTGATGGAGTTAAATAGGGATTTGTGATGGTGGGCCATTGAGGCAGACTCCGTCTCCTGAGCAACCCGCGACCACCACCCATCCTTGCAGTGCCTCACGGTTCTCCGAACCTCCGAGCGAAGGCTGCGGTAAGCCTCCGCATTGAC